GGCGAAAAACATGATCTAGGTCATCCCTCTGAAATTTTGCCAGGTGACAGAGGGGGGCCTGAGGGGCCGATAGGTGGAATTTGCGATAGGTCCTCCTTATACGGAGGACCTATCAGAGCGGAGGACCTATCGACTCTAAAAAGCCCATGAGTGGAGGACCGATCCATCAGAATCTACATATATGTGTATATATATGTGTATATATGTGTATATATACGTGTATATATACGTGTATATATACGTGTATATATACGTGAATATATACGTGTATATATACGTGTATATATACGTGTATATATACGTGTATATATACGTGTATGTATACGTGTATATATCCGTGTATATATACGTGTATGTATACGTGTATATATACGTGTATCTATACGTGTATATATACGTGTATATATACGTGTATATATACGTGTATACAGGGTGACTTCGAAGTTGAGTCATTTATTTTAACAGTGAGTAGATCTGATCAAAGGAATGTTTTTTTCCTTTACCATTTTTCTGGTAAAATTAAAGTAACAAAGTTATAGCCCTTTGGAAGTTTGAGTACCGCCCTGTCTCAATAATGATATTATGTTCTCGTGTTTGGCAACAACAGATATAATCCGCCTTATCCGTTCATCGCATCGGAAACAAAAAAGCGAAAGAATTTGAACGATCTTTTTACAATTATTTTCTTCAGTTGTATACAGTCAGTATCAGTCTGTAGTCGGTAACGCGTAAGTGAATAATCGTGTCTGTTGCGAGGCTCAAATCAAAAATGGCACATGTTACGAAAATGCTGAACTTGTGGACATTGGTTCTTATTTACGGGGAGTCTTTACAAAATGCTGCCGCGGCATCACGGATCTATGCGGATCGGTTTCCCAATCGAGTGCAACCAACCCCTCGTGCCTTTGTTAATGTAGTGCAAAGAGCTCGTGAATCAGGTGACTTAAGACCTCACAGAGGAGATCATGCCGGTGCTCCAAGACCACACGATCAAATAGAACTAGAAGAACAAATTTTAGAATTAGTAAGTGATGATCCAACAGTATGCACCCGACAAATTTCAACTCAATTGGCGATTAGTCAGTATAAAACTTGGAAAACTCTACGTGAAAATCAGTTCTATCCGTTTCACATACAAAAAGTGCAGGCCTTACAACCGGAAGATCATGAACAAAGGGTTGACTTTTGCAATTGGCTTTTAAATAAACATCAAAATGATGACAATTTTTTAAATCAAATTTTAGTGAGTGATGAAGCCCTCTTTACTAGAAACGGAATTATTAATTCACGTAATTCTCACGTTTGGGCTATTGAAAATCCCCATGAAATAAGGGAAACCAATTTTCAACAGCGATTTGAACCAATCAACCTGTGGGCGGGAATTGTTAATGGAATTTTAGTGGGGCCTTTTGAATTACCAAATCGCTTAACTGGTGAAAATTATTTTGATTTCTTGCAACACAATTTGCCTGGTTTACTGGGAAGATGTGCCTTTAAATATTAGACAAAACATGTGGTTTTTACAAGATGGGGCACCACCCCATTATGCAAGAAATGTGCGTGAATTTTTAAATAGACAATTTAATAATCGTTGGATCGGCCGTGGCGGTTTTGTACCTTGGCCGCCAAGGTCTCCGGACTTAAATCCTTTAGACTTTTGTTTGTGGGGTTGGCTAAAAACTCTAGTGTATAAAACACCGTTTAATACACGCGAAGAATTACGTGCTCGAATTGAGGAAATGAGTACAGTGATCAGAAATCAACCAGTGATTTTATTGCGTGCTTGTAAAGAGACATGGCT